GTGAGGGGCATCAGGCCAGCAGCGGGGGGGCAGTTAAGGGCAATTAGGAGCGATTAGGAGCCAAGAGGTCCAGGATTGTGAGAGGGATGTCTGACTTTTGGTTTAGGCCCGATCCTGGCAGTTGGACATCCCCAAGGGGTCTAGGATTGGAGAGAGTACAGGCTGGGCTGAAGGAACCCCCCCCCCCTCCTGTGCACAAATTTCATGCACCGGGCCTCTAGTTAGGAAAATAAAAGCCAAAATGTAATCTTCTTTAAGCAAACATCTAAAAATTAACTAGATTTTTTTTTCTAAATATTAAATATGCATTGAATGTATTTCAGTATATCTACACAACCATTCCATGGGTTATGAAACCATACCCTGGTTCAAACATGTAGAGGAAATTTCTAAAAATGATTTATAAATGAGGTCTCACAAGAAAAAACAATCCAGGTATTTGAGAAAAGTGATTTTGACCTAGAGTTGAGGGAGCAGGGTCATCTTAGCAGAGAGGTAAAGTTTAAAATAACTAAATAATTTCCATAATTTGTTTAATTCCACTTTGTTAACTTTTTCTAATAATGAAATTTAATACATTTTATAAATTAATTAGTTTTTCTCCTATCAATCATTTCATTAATCAATTTAGGAATAACTTTCTCTGGCCATGCGTGCTAAATTAATTTAATTCACTGCATTGAAAACCAGTCAGAATATATTTTAGCTTATCCCTTCATAATAACAAAAGAAAAACGAATAAAGAGATTGCATAGTCCTCACTCTAAGCACTTCTTTCATTTCCCCTACTAGAAGAGCAGCCATAGTAGCTCTATGATAGATGTTTACTCACTTATCTAATCCCCATAAATATCTGCTATGAGCCAAACTCCAGTCTCAACTTGTTCAAATGGGTGCTGTATTATTAAATACCAATAATTTTTCTTATCAATATTTGAGTTTTTATTGGGTTGTGATAATTTATTTTTAAAAAGAAATCTTAGAAATTTACCTTTACTTTTTATAATAAATTTACTACTACTCTTCATTTACATATGACCATGGTGAGTCCAAGTTAGTGAGTGCAACACCTGTAATGAAATAGCACATTTGCCTGTCTTCATCCTAAAATTTCTTTTAAAAAAATCTTTAACATTGGAATCCTTTTTCTGGTCAGAAAAGTGATTTGAAGTAACATTTTTCTATCCTCCAATATATAGGATGGGCAAAAGTAAGTTTATATTTGTGAGTGCATGGAACATAGAGTTTACTCTTATATTATTATTTATTTATTAAATATTATTATTTATATTATTTGTCTTATTATTATTATTGTTATTATTTTGTATTCTTACTTATGATTTATCTTTTAGGTAATGATGGCTGGTAACTTAACCAACAACCAGCGAAAGTGGATACTTAAACCTACTTTTGCCTAAGCCTGTATTCCTTTCATCCTCTTCACTCACATGTAAACAAACCAATCTAAGATAGCATGGCATCTCTATCCTCAGAAAGCCTTCACACACGTTTCTTGCTGATCTGGCATGACACTTGTCACTCTGAGGTTTTCCTGTCCCTGCAGGCCCGAGGATATATTCAGGCTTTCAGCCAAGAATCATAAGGTTGGAGTGTAGGACTATTTGCCAGCATCTAAATCAGAGAAACAGTTTACTTTAGCACTATACTTTGTGACATCTTTGTTTATTAAAGCATTGGTTATCTAAGAGCACAACACTATTGCATGAAAAGAATACCCCCACTGGGATGTCCTAGGGTTAAACTCCATCTCTACCCAGAGAGCCCACATAGGATAGATCAAATTTGCATTCTGACATGGTGAGATTTTTATGAAAGCAACCCAAAGCCCTTTGTAGTGAAAATCACAGGTTCTAGAGAGCAGATTCCTAACTCCCAAGCCAGCATACTGAACTGGCTTCTCCCTTCATTCCCTGAGTAACTTTGCTTAGGTCACCTGCCCTTTCTGTCTGAGATTATGTCTGCACACACAAAAAATTAGGTTAGAAAAATACTTTAGCCTCAAGAATGCAAATGAATGTAGATGCAACCAGTGTAGAAGTTTGAAACAGGGCAGAGAAAAGTTTTGAAATTAAAAAAATCATTTTTGCCTGGTCAATGTGGCTCAATCATCGAGTGTTAGCCCATGAAACAAGAGGTCCCTGGTTCAATTCTGGGTCAGGGCACATGCCCAGGTTGTAGGTTTGATCCCTAGTAGGGGACATGCAGGAAGCAACCGATTGGTGTTTCTCCCTCATGGATGTTTCAATCTCTCTATACCTCTCCCTTACTCTCTAAAAATTCAATAAAAACATATTTTAAAATAACAATAATAATTTTCTCCTTATACTATTACTTTTATTAACATATCTTCAAGTTCTTAATAATGAAGTGGATGCATATTTTGGTGACAGAAATACTGTCTTCTTATACATCATGTCTTCTTATACTCTCTTACTTTGTGTATATCATAGTAACATGCCTTGTACATATTTTTATAAATCTAGATAGATGTTTACTTCTTATGTCTTTGGACAGGTATTTGTCTTGAAATATTAAAATTATAAAATCTACAAAATATAAATACAGATTTTTAGTTACAAAGTTTCTACCAACTATAATAGTATTATAACAATGCTCTAAAAATTAATCAAAGTAATATAAATTTGGAGGCTCTATTTGATAATAATCTGAATACACAATTTAGAAAGCACATCTCTCTGTGGTGTTAAAATGCTTCATAAACTATTTGCAGCATACAAATCAGGCTGCTCCGGAGACAGTTGTATGGCAAATGGTGCAGAGCTGAAAAGCTTGCTTCAATTTTAATTCACCAAAGTCTGGCTACTGTTCTGGCAGCAACCCTTGCTGCTATATAAAAAAATATCAATACTCTCTGTAGTGAAGGTCACTGCAGTGGGACACATGGCAAGAAAGGAGCTGTTCTGCCAGGAAAAAAGGTCCCTGAATTCTCCCTTTCCTTTTATGTCCCTTTCTTTCTTTCTCTTAGAATATCATTTGAGCTTCTACTTAATAATGTTTACAGTGACAGCCATATCCTCAGGAAATAAGACCTAAAATGCCCAATGGTTATAAAGAAAGAAAAATGAACCATACCTTGTGTGAACTGAGTGACACTGTGGTTGCCTTTGCCCAAGTTGAGGAGATATCCATGTCGAGGGAGCTCTGTAACAATAAACCTAAGAGAAAAACACAGGCTGTCTCTGTCCTCAGCTTTTAATATTTTGTTTGTGATCATGAATCCCAAGTGGCCAGTGGCCAGAGTGCGAAGTGTAGAAGCTCCTTTGTTCACTGCAATGTGGGGGACACTATTGTCAACAGCTAAGACCTGGATCTTCATCACTTGGGGTCTTCTTGTTTCAAATACTGTATCAGGAAAAACATAGAACTCTGTATGGGAGCCATCAGTTACCGTGAAGGAGAAGCTGTCTTTACTTGACTCAGTGCCATCATGCCTATAGCTGATTAAGTTTTCATTTAAGTCTTGCTTAGTAAAAATCATGGCAGGCCTGGTATTGTTAAGTAGGAGTTGACCATGAACAGGCATCTGGGTGACAGTGAATTTTAGGAGTTTATCAGGAGTATCTCTGTCTTCAACAGTGAGTTCAAAGGGAGTGATCAGCTTGTTTTCACCTTCACTGACAATCAGGTTATGGATAGTGACAATTGGCTTTTTGTTGTCCACATCACTAATGGAGATACGGAATGTCCGGAAGACAGGGTTATGTCCATCAGTGACTTGAAACTCAAAACTGTCCATCTTCACCTCATCATCAGCTGTGTGTATGTAGTATATTTTGTTTCCAGCCAGTTGAAGCTGAGTGAAAGATGTGATAGAAACTCCAGGTTGATCTGTGCATTCTAAGAGACCTCTCAGGGGAGCCTTGGTGATGGTAAACACTAAGTTTTCATCAGGACTGTTCAAATCACTAGTGCTTAAGAGGTCTGTTGTGAGAATGACTTTACCACCTTCTTTCAAGGACACACCCTTACTTATCACATCAGGGAAGACAATGTCAACGCTCCCAATAGATACATAAAAATAGCAATCTATGAGGGTATTTGTTCCATCAGTCACATCAAATTTAATTAGGTCCTGAATGCTGTCTTGCCCAGAATGGACATATTGAATTAAGTTCCTGTCCACTTCATCCTGGGTAAAATTCATGCCCATTGTGATATTTTCAAAGGCATGCATAGGTTTTTGTCTCTGTAATAATCCATGTTCTGGCCCATAACGAATTATATAAACCAACGATTTGTCTTCAGAATCTAAATCAGTTGCCATTAATATTTTATTGTTCATAATTTTGGTTTCTCCAACTTCTATTTCTAATCCACTATTAATGGCCATTCTGGGGGTCTCATCATCAACAGGGATAATCATAATGAGAACTGTCTTTTCCACAGAGTGCTTACCATCTGTTAGTTTAATCACAAAACTATCTTCCTGGGTCTCAGAGTCATCATGCTCATAAATAATGCTGGAACTCTCTATGATCTGGTCCAAGGTAAAGCTTTTGACCAAAACTGTGCTGTTTATCAGCTGGTTCATGATGCGACCATGAGTAGGAAATTGGGTAAGAGTGAAAGTTAAATCCTCCAGGGGAATGTCAGCATCAGCAGCATTGAGGATGGGTGTATCAATCACCAGACTCATGCCTTCCATCACCATAAATTCTCTCATAAATATTTCTGGCTGTTCATCATTGGTGGGAATGATAACAATAGAGAAAAAATGTCTCTCTGAAAAGTTAATGCCATCAGAACAACGAAATATAAATCTATCTTCCACAGGTTCCACTCCTTTATGTATGCTCTGGACATAGTTAATATGATCATGCCTGAGATCTTTCAGTGTGAAGGCACTTATGGCAATCCCTGCTCTTGATTTTTCAGAGCCTGGTGCTGGAGAAATATTTTCAACATAACCTGAGATAGGCTGAATAACTATAGTGCACAGGATGTCGTCATTTAAGGAATCAATATCTTCAGCACTTATATGCATTGAGGTTATGACACTTTTATCACCTTCCATTACTATAAACTGTTCACCTACAGAAATTTCTGGGGCCTGGCTGTCAATAGGAAGGATGGTCACCCACACAGTAACTCTTTGGACAGTACTGCCACTTATTCTCCATTTTTGAGATATAGCTGACAGACTCAGGTTAAAAGAGTCCTCTTTGGGCAATAGGCCTATCTCACCACTGGTATGGGCATAGACAACAGAGCCCTCCAGGATGTCCCTTTGGGTAAACTGCTCTGCTGGAACTCCATTGACCAGGATTTTTCCATATAAGGGTGGATCTTCCAAGAGGAAAGTCAACATTAAATCATCAGTGTCTTCATCAGTCCCCTTGATAACACTGGCAGTGATTTCAGTAGCCCCATTCTCTAAAACATCTAGGTAGGACCCCAGAGTGCCAGCAGGAAGGCTCAGCATGGGCACCTCATCATTCACTGGTTGGACATTCACTCTGAGAGTTATGGGCACCACATGGTGTCTATCACTGACCTCCAAGGAGCAGTTATCAGTAAGGGAGTCATCCCCACTATGGTCATAAGAAATCCGACCCTGTTTTATGTCCTCCAGATGGAAAACCCCACCTACAGGTAGTATCTGTCCAGACACCCTTATGTGACCATGTTTGGGTGCCTGTGTTAGAGTAAAGGAGATGTGGGCTACATCAGTGTCTATATCATTCACATGCAACTCAGACTCACTCAGGATGTGGTGTCCTTTCTCCTTAGTAGTAAAGCCAGTGTTGAGTATCTCAGGTGGCTGGTTGTCCTCTGGCTGCAAGTAAAGGGTGAAGATGCCTGAAGCTACATTCCCAGCTCGGTCCTCCACCTGGAACTGGAACTGGGCCACTCGGGCAGCCACTCCCAGTTCTTGATCTGGAGGTCTGTAAGCAATTTTATGGTGATTGATCTGGGCTTGGGTAAAATGAGCCACCACAATAGAAGGGTTGTCAGTCAGGACCAAGGTTCCTAATGGGGCTGGCGAGTGGTTTTTATCTGTGTCCATTGGAGGCTGAGTCACTGTGTAATGTAGCTCTCGGTCATCTGTGTCCAGGTCAGTGTATTGCAGCCACTTCTTCCTCAGCGGTGTAAGCTTGGATTCTTGCACCACCATCCGAAGGGGACAGCCACTGCCCAACTCTGGAGGGAGGCGATCCACAGGATGAATGCGGATCACAAACTTCTGTAGCCCAGATTGATTAGGGGGGTCATGGTTATCCTGAACTCGAAATGTGAACTGATCCATCACTGGTCCAGGATTATGGGGCCCAGAGTGCACATAGAATAGCCTCCCCTTTATTATGTCCTGCTGCCGCCACTTTGTCACTATTTTCTCATAAAATGTTCCTTGTTTCTTCCAAGGACTTCCAATAAGCTGCTCCACCTCTTGTGGAGGATGAGGTTGGCGGATAATCAGATGGCCTGTAGTTGAGGGAGACTCCAGCACAAAAAGCAGCAGAGAGTCATCTGAGTCTATGTCAGTTGCACTGAGAGCAAAGGGTTGTATGGGCATTGTTTCACCCTCTGCCAGTGTCAGCCCTGTGTTGGCACTGAGGACTGGTGGCTGGTCATCCACAGGCACTAAGGTGATAGGGAATAGGAATTGCACCTGGTGCCTGTGTCCTCCATCTACCATTCGAAGCACCAGGTTGTCACTCAGTGAGCCATCTTTGTCATCATGGTGGTAGACCACCTCACCAGCTGTTAGCTGAGCTACTGTAAAGGCCTTAGTGACAAGGTTACCACTGGAGCCAACCAGAAGGATGAGGTGACCATGTTGGAGCCCAGCCACCACCTCTAGCTGCACTGCCTCTAGGTCATCTTCATCGCCGATGACCAAGTTTTGTGGTCCACTGCCTGTAGGGCCGGTGAGGGGCCGAGACTGGCCCTCATAGAGAATGAGACCAGTGTTGCGGATAACCACTGGAGCCAGTGTATTCATGGCCTTCACCACCACCATGAAGGCAAAGGGATCTGAGGCTGCTCCTTCTGGGTCTACTACCTCCAGCTCAAATTCAAAGGGACGCTCCTGGTCAGAGTCTTCAGAGGGTGGCTGGTAGGCAATCTTCAGGAGGCGCAGATCTCTCTGAGTAAAGGAGGAGAGCGGCAGGTTGCGATCATCAGTGCTTACCAGATAGCCATGGCCAGGCTGAAATGGGGAGGTGAGGTTGAAGATCAACAAGTCAGGGGTAGATTCAGCATCCTCAGCTGCCAACATGTCTGGGGTGAGGGCGGTCAGTACAAACTGGTCCACCTCCATCATCATCATGGCCACAAAGCTGGGCTTGGGGGCAGTGTTCTCAACCCCTCCTCGGATTCTCACCAGCATCTGGAAGTGCTCGCGTTTCAAAGCAGGGCTGCCCATAGGAGCCCCTCGCAAGTGCAGCTCCACCACCATGGGCACCCAGTCTCTGTTTGGTGAGCGACTGGAGGCTGTGTGACGGTAGCACACACCTAGCTCCTGAAAAGCTTTGCAGTCCATCAGGAGAGGCTCCTGGGTATCCCCCTCGCTGGCTAGTCCTGGGACCTGCGGGTAGTGTAGGAGTTCCCCATAGCGAGGCAGCGTGCCCAAGCCAGACAGGATGCCCACACGACACTCCTCTGTCTCAGACTGGTAGGTGAACTCCAAGCTCTGCGCGTCCAGAGCATTGCTGGTCCCCAGCAGCTCCTCCACGACCAGAGGCAAGTTCCGAGTCACAACTTCCAGCTGAGTAAAGACTACAACCACCTCCAGCACCAAGGGAAGCACTGCAGTCCCTCCCTGCGCGTCATAGCGCAGCTGCAGCGGAATGCGATCTCGCGAGGGGCTGCGCGCACCCAGGTGAGAGTAGCTCACCTCTCTAGGACCGAAGTCGCAGGGGAAGCGCTTAGGATTCAGGCGGCCGGGCCGCTGGGCCAGCGCGTCGTTGTCTAGTACGGTCACCGTGCAATGGTCCCCCGGCTGCACCTGCAGCACCAGGTCCTGCAGTGGATCCAGCCAGACCTCACGGCCAAAAGGCACCCGGAGCCCACGGTTCGCCATTACTATAGCCTCCTCGGCGGGGACCCTTGCAAACCCCGGGAGACCTGAGGACAGCAACACTCGGCCGGGGGCATCGGGCTGTGCTGGAAGGCAGCTTACCAGTGGCAGGAGAAGCAGCAGCAGCAGCAGCAGGGTCCGTGGCGGAGGCCGAGGCATTGGCTGAAAACTGGTGGCGTTGGCTCCCCAGCGTGCGTGGGAGGCTATCCTGGGGTTCCTGAATAAGTGCATGGTCCAGGACGGTGTTAGTGCTCTAACAGGTAAGTCCGAGAGCGCGCAGTCAGTCTCTGGGCAGGGAGCAATAGACCCCTTCGGAAAGTGCCAGGAACTCTGCGCGCTGCGTGGGGGTCCTGTTTGTAGCGGAGGCTGGGCCAGAAGGATGAGAAAATTGCTTGGCGCGCTCTGGCCTGGAACTGCAGCGGGGGAGGATAAGTCCTCCAGGCCTTGCGGCTCAGTCGCGGGAACTAAGTCTCTCCACTCCTCCTTCCCTGGTCCCAGGACCTAGCTTGAGCTTTAAGGGAAATCCCTCCCCCTTGCACCCCCTCATCCCAGTCCTTCTTGTAGGCCAATCCTAGATCCCGGAGGAGGCCCAGAGTCTAGGGTTGGATAGTGATTTCTGCCAATCAGCTCCTAGGGACGGAGGCGGGCAAAGCGCTGGGAGGGGAGGAGAGAGAAGATTCAACAAGTTTTCTTGCAAGTTAAGGACCTGGAGCTGCCTGCCCTGCTCTGCTCGCTTTCCAATAGGGCAGCTGAGCTCAGCTCCCCATGTTAGCTCCCATCCCCCAAATTCAATGGAATTCCGCGCAGGGATGGTTATTTCTCACGGAAACTTGCAAACCCGTGAGAAAAGTTATAGCAATGCCGCTTGAGTTTGAATCGAAACCCAGGATGGCTTGCAGTTTGGGGGATGGGGTTGGGGGGTGGGGATCTGAAGCATATTTGCAAAAGAACAGCTGAAACTAAAAGCCAATGCTAGAATTAGTTGAACTTCC